CTTTCTTTCTTTCTTTCTTTCTTTCTTTCTTTCTTTCTTTCTTTCTTTCTTTCTTTCTTTCTTTCTTTCTTTCTTTCTTTCTTTCTGTCTTTCTTGACGGGCCCTCACTAGCTATGTAGCCCCAGCTAGCCTTGAACTTCAAGTAATCCTCTTGTCTTAGCCTCCAGAGTGCTGGGATTACAGGTGTGCATCATCATGCCTGGCAAAACTTGGTTTCTTAAAGAATCAAAAGCATTAACAATGGAGAGCCAGGGATTTAGCTCAGTGGTTCCACCACCTGCCTTGCAAGTGCAAGGTCCCGAGTTTGATCCGCAGTACCAAAAAAAAAAAATCTGAAAACAATGGAGAACACAAGAAGTTATCTTGATAAAACATAAAACCTTTGTTTCTTAATCTAGCTTTTATAAGTTTAACAAGGAGCATTTTAATCTTAAGAAAACTTTATTGCTTTAGACATAGAAAACTTGATCTTTTTAATTATAGCCAACTTAATTATATATACTAATAATTTTTCGTAACATTTGTTGAAGTGAGGCACAATAAGACCATGGGGGAAACTGGAGAAGCTGCCTCTCTGCAGAGGAAACCTTAGCAACTGTCAGGCAGCAGCTATGTGAACCAAAGCAGGAGCTTTGTCCAGGAGTTCCTCAGGCCCAGGGAACCCTCACTTAAGGGAGATTTTAAACATAGAATTATATATTAGAATTTTAACTTAAATGTTAGCTTTTCTTAGTAAACTTAAGAGAATCTTAAACTTTTATATATATTAATAATGTATGAAAACACATTTAATAGACCAAAATACATTATATTTTAAGAAGCAAAGAAAATTGGAATTTAGCAGCTGATGACTCAAGTGTTGTTATAAATATTTATAACCATTGACCTCATTTATATTTACTCATTTAAACAATTATTTTAGATTACTCATGAGAATCAAAGCATAGCATAGTTAACATTTTAAGCTATATATAGAATATTCTCTTTGACCAAGGGAAAAGCTCTGGAGTTATTGTACATAGAAGACAATGGATATTGCATTTACAAAACCAATTATTTTTAAAGAAAAAAATGTTATGTTGGTTGGCTAATGGCCTGGGGAAAACAGGTTACCACCTGTAAAGATATCCTTGCTCTTATCTTGGGACTGATTTAAATGCGCTCACTGTTAAGCCTTGTGGACAGAAGGCATTTGAGCTATATCATCAGTGTCCACTTACCCTATTATCCAAGTTCAATAGGACTCTTGGAGGTTAATGTGAAATATGTGTACCTCAAGCCAACACATACAGACACATATTATCCCGAATTGTATGGTGTTTTATATGTAAGCACCCATTTTCTAGGAATCTGGGAGCCTCTACTTGCTGAAAAGGGAAAAAAATGTAAGGCTGCAGAGAAGAGGGAGAGAGAGGGAGGGAGAAAGAAGAAGCAGGAAAAGGAGGGCAAGAAATAGGCTGCATTCCAGAGGCACGAAGTTGAGGAAGTGGGGAAGAAAACATGGAAAAGCCTTCAGTGGGACTTACCAAGTCCTAGTCCTGGTGCCTCTTTACATCCCGCTGCTGGCTCACCAAGAGAACAAGTCCCTGGCAGGGTCCCTGCAGGGTCCCAAAGCAGAAAGGAGGATGCTGCCCTCTCTTCCCCCCATTGAATAAGCTTGTGACTCCCTTTGTGGAAAAAGAATTTTCAGGCCCAGTCAGTAAGAGCCTGAAAGGGATTTATGAGGAAGAATTTCAAAAGTACACACTTAAAGAAGTAGAATGCAGGCCCTCAAGTGAGAAGCACACTTTCTTCTGGAGCTGGGAACATTTATGTTTCTCTTGAAGGGGTGGAAACCTTTGGGAAAGTCGGTTCATCCCCCAGCAGGAAAATGGCCCCTTTGACAGTAAGGGCCCTGAGTTTTTAGATGGATTATTTAGGCATTCTTGGAATTCTCTCAAGGAGTCCCTTTATCTTCAGATCAGGTTTGCACAGTTTACTTCCTGGACTAAGCTGATTTATGGACTTACAGAACCCTTAAGGAATCTGGGAGGGCGGGGGCGGGTCTGCAAGGAGAGAAGTGTATTTTAACCAAGAGAGTGCCAATGTGGAGCACCTCGATAACTTTCCCCAGAGCCTGGAAGTGGCAGTTTTCTTAAAAGTACAATTTTTTTAAATCATGATTTTCCTTGTCTCCTTCCTACCTGTCTTTACTTCCTCTCTCCTACCTTGGAACAACAGCATGGGCTGTGGGCTCTGCAGTCTGAAGGGGAATCAGGCAGCCCCTGAGGTCCCTCTGGATGTGGCTTCAGCCGAAGAAAAACCACAGCTGATGAGAGGCTGGAGGAGCCCTGAGAGGTAGATCAGAGCAGGAGGAACTGGGTGATATCAGCTTATCCGGCCCTGGTTTCAGAGTAGACGACAGCCCCGATGGAAACAGTCCCCAGTTAGTGCTGTCTACCATGGGCTGGGGTGACGTGTGGTTTGTCTGAAGACCCCAACATTCTCCAAGTTGGGAGCAGATGAAGAAAGCAAGGCTGGAAGAGAGCAGAAGTGGCTTGCTGTACAAATGGCAAAGCCAGAATTCAAATCAAGTCCCTCGACTCAGGGTCCCAGTTCGTGTTAGTGCCTCTGTCTTGATTTAAATATAAGGACGCCCTCCAACCGGCAATACTTGTGGTTCAACCCAGGACCTCACCCTTGCGGAGCACATTCTACTGCTGAGCCACATGCCCAGTCCTCACCGTTTTTTTGTAGATAGAAAAACTGAGCTCATAATGTGGAGGTCACTCCTGTCCGAGGACAGCACATTTCCCAGCACCAGGACCCCACTGTCTGTCTAGCTCATCTCCGGGGGCTGCCACATGACTGCACCAGGAAACCCACTACATCGTGGAGATTCATGAAAACAGACACTTGGTCTTCCGAGAACCTGCTTGCTGGTCTGCTAGATGTTGGGTGGATGCTCAGACGCACAGCCACGGTACCCGTGCAGTATTGATGCTCCATAGGACAGAGGAGCTGTATGTTTTTATTCATATGAAATTCACCATTGTAGTCACTTAAAGTACTCAATTCAGTAGCTTTTAGTGCATTCACAATACTGTCTAATAATAATTCCAGGGTGTCTTCATCACTCCAAAAGAATCCTTGCACCCTTCCAATAGTCAATCACTATTCCTCTCTCATCCCAGTCTCTGACAATTAACTTGCTTCTTATCTCTATGGATACACCTATTCTGGACATTTCCAGTAAATGGAATCTAACAAAATGTGCCCTTTTGTGAAATTCTAGCTTCTTCCTTTCAGCATGTTTTCAAAGCTTATCCATATTGAAGTATAGATCAGTACTTTGTTCCTTTTATGGCTGCATAATATTCCATTGCATAAATATACAGTATCATGATTATCCATTTGGTTATTATGAATAGTGTGGGCTGCTATGAAATTGTTCTACAAGTTTTACTTTGAACACGTATCTTCAATTCTTTTGAACATATATTTAGGGTTAGAATTGTGGAGTCATATGCTAATTCTGTTTAACTTTTTAAAGAGCAGCCAAATTCTTTTTCCAAGCAGGGACACCATTTCACAGTCCCACCAGCAATATATACAAGCTCCAGTTTCACTGCATCTTTGCCAACACTTGTCATTTTTCATATTTTAAATCAGGGCCATCATGGTGGCCGTGAAATGGTGTCTCATCATGGTTCTGATCAGCATTTCTTTTTGGAGTGTGTGTGTGGGGGGGAGACAGGGTTTCGCTAGGCAGTTCAAGCTGGCCTTGAACTCACTATGTAGCCCAGGCTGGCCTCGAACTCTCAGAGAACATCCTTCCTCAGCCTCCAGAGTACTGCGATTGTAGGTGTGTGTCACCACACCCAGCCTGATCAGCATTTCTCCGTGACCATTGATGGCAAGCATTCTTCATGTGCTTATTGGCTATTCCTAGGTATGCTCTTGAGAAATGGTCATTTTTTTGAGTAATTTTGTTGTTAAGTTTTAGGAGTTCTTTCTATGTTCCAGATATCAATTCCTTCTTAGGTATATGAATGAATTGGAGATTTTTCTCTCATTGTGATAATTCATTTCTCATGGAGATATTTCACCCTTTGATGAAGTCCTGCTTGCTTATCTTTCTTTCATCATTTGTGCTTTGGTGTTATATCTAAAAATCTATGTATTGCCAAATCAAGGTCATGAAAATTTACTATTATGTCTAGTTTTAAGAGTTTTCCAGCATTGGCACTAAGGTTTAGGGATTCAATCCAGTTTGAGTTAATTTTTAATGGATCCCACATCATTCTTTTGAGAGTGCCTGCCCTGTCATTGTCATTGAACAGCCTGTTCTTTTGCACTTCAGGGCCTTGACACTTGTTGGAAATCAGTTGGCCACAGGTGTGTTTCTGCACTCTGCGCACTAATCCATTGGTTATGTGTCGATCCTGGAACATTAACATGCTATTTTGATTGCTGTAATATTCTAGTAAATTTGGGGGGTTTTTTGGTTTGTTTGTTTTTTTGTACTAGGGATTGAACTCGGGACCTTCTGCTTGGGAGGCAGGCGGTGGCAGCACTGAGCTAAATCCCCAGCCCTCTAGTAAGTTTTGAAATTGACAAGTATAAATCCTACAACTTCATATTTTTCAAGACTGTTTTGACCATTTGGGGTCCCTTAAAATTCAGTATGAATTTTAGGATCAAGTTGTCCATTTGTGATAAAATAGGCAGTTGGAATTCTGTGTGATTGCCCTGAATCTCTTGATCACTGGGGAGTATTTTGCCATCTGTAGGTCCTTTCCTTCTTGTCCCTGCCACTTCCCCCCTCCGCCCTGCGCCATTCTCCCTCTCTCTCCCCTCCCCTCAAAACTGCCCTGGGCAGAAATCACACTATACAACATTGAACAGTGTGATGGGTAATTTACCTGCCAGCTTGATTCTTGTGAGAACTGCCAAACAGATGACTAAAGCGTGACTTCAAGACAGTCCCTGCTCCCTGGCCCTTTCCTCTTTGGCTCCTTCCTTGCTCTCACCATGAAGTGGGCAGCTTTCCTCCACCATGCCTTGAAATCTCTGAAACTGGGAGCCAAGATAAACCTCTCCTCCCCTGGGCTCTGTACATCAGGTATTTGTCCCAGCAGCAGAAAACTGACTCATAGGAGTCAGGATTGGTGAAACCAGGTGCCTTAATTCTTTGTGATCTCAGGGAGAAAGTATTCGACCTTTCATCATGAGGTGCAAAGTTAACCCTGATTATTTACAGGTGCCCTTGATCATGTTGAAGAATTTCCCTTCTATTCCTAGTGGAATGTTCTTCAACATGAAAGGGTACTGAGTTTTCACAAGTCCTTTCTCCTATAAATTGAGATTGTCAGAGGTTTTTAAACTTCAGCTTTATTGAATATGAGCTGTTGAAATCTCTGTGACTGGAGAATAATATATTTCTCCCAGTGTTTGTTCAAATACTCTTGAGTCTCCATTGTTAGGTGAATATATGCATATAATTTGTATATCTCCTTGATAAATTGACCTTTTATCCTTATGTAATGTCCATTTTGTCTCTTGTAACAATTTCCATCTCAAAGTCTATTTTTTCTGGTATCAGCATAGCCCTCCCAGCTCTTTCAGGTACTGGGTGCGTGGGACGTTCACTCCTACCCTTTTGCCTTCCACCCATCTGTGTCTTGGGTCTGAAGTGTGTGGGTCCCTTGTACACAGTGTGTAGCTGGACCATGGTTTGTTTGTTTAATCCATTCTTTCAGTGCCTGTCTCTTAATTGTAAAATTTGAACTGCTCGCATTTCATGTAATTACTGGTAAGGAAGGCCTTTCCTCTACCGTTTTGCTATTTTTTCCTGTGTGCCTTACGTATTTTGTGTTCTTCAACTCCTCTTACGTTACTTTCTTTCATTAGATAGATTTTTTTCCTAGTGTAACATTTTTATTTCCCTCTCTAGCACTCTCTCTCTCGCTGCAATATTTGACTTCCCAAGTCTGTCTAATTTCACTCTGTGTGTCTGTATGTTTTCAGTTATTTTCTTAGTTGTTGTCAGGGGATTACAACTAACATCTTAATTTGTAACAATTAAATTAGTTCAATTAATACAACTAACTGCAATAGTATCCTAAGCATTATTTCTTTTTTGGTACTGGGGATCGAACTCAGGGCCTTGTGCTTGCAAGGCAGGTGCGGTGCCACTGAGCTAAATCCCCAGCCCCTTAAGCATTATTTCTATGTAGCTCCGTCTTCTCTGTCCACTTACGGTATCATTGTTACAAACTGTATCTTTATACATTGTGCACCCATCAATACATATTAATAATTGTTGTTGGGGCCAGGGATTTAGCTCAGCAGTGCCACTGCCTGCCTTGAAAGCACAAGGTCCCGAGATTGATCCCCGGTACAAAAAAAAAAAAAAAATCATTGTTTTATGTTAGTTTAGAAATCACATAGAAAAAAAAGAGTTACAAACCATAGATGCCTTAGGACTGACTCACATTTACTCATTATTATAAGTATATAATAGTGATACATTTATTATATGTAGATTTATTACAGTTATAATTATTAAATAGAATTTAATTATAAAGCAATAAATACATTGTTTTTATATAATATAAAGTTTTAAAATAAAATATAAAGTATTAATTTTATATATTATTCATATTAACATAATTATATGTATAATAGTTAATTTTTAGTATTTTATTGATGCATGTTAATATTATGTGATGGTGTGGTTTATCTTGGGGAGCTGGTGCATGCATTTAACACATCTTAATCAATTTCAATCCCCTTACCCCCCTTTCTCTTTTCTTTTTTTTTTTTTTTTATGGTACCGGGGATTGAACTCGGGTCCTTGCGCTTGCGCAGCAGGCGGCAAAACCACTGAGCTAAATCCCCGGCCCTCCCTTTCTCTTTTCTTTCCCCTCCTGCTTGCCCCTTCCCCATCTCTACAAGTCCACTCCTGGTTTCTTGTCCTGTCTCATTTATTTATTTATTTATTTATTTATTTGGCTTCTCATATAAGAGAAAACATGATATTTATCTTTCTGAGTCTGGTTAATTTCACTGAACATGATGGTTTTCAGCCTGTCCATTTTCCTACAGATGACAGGATCACACCCTTCTTTATGGCCGAGTAATAGTCCATTGTGTGCATGTGCCTTTATCCATTCACCTGTGGACAGGCATCTAGGATGTTTCCATAGCTCAGCCAATGTGACTGGCATTGCTTTAGACATGGGTGTGCATGCACCACTGCAGCACATGGGCCTGATTGTTTTGGGCCCCATGGTATCTCTGTATTTAGTCTTTTTAAATTACTTTATTGACAGCCTTTGCTTCTTCATATGGATTCATGTCACTGTTTAAAGCGCATCCTTTTGTTTCGGCCGGAAGGACCTTTGCTGGTCTCCCAGCAAAGAACACGCTCTGCTTCTGTTTACTGGGGAATGTCTTCACTCCTCTTTCATTGTTGAAGGATAACTTCCTGCACAAGGAATCCTTGGCTGACCAGTGTATTCTTTCAGCACTTTGAATAAGTCATCCAGTGTCCCCTGACCTCTGTGGTTTCTGAGGCAACATCAGGTTGGTGTCGGTGAGGACAACTTCATGATGAGGCATCTCTCTCTCTGGCTGCTTCTAGGGGGCTAGCTTTAGTCTTCAGCAGTGTGATGCAATGCGTCTCAGTGAGAATCTTGGGTCTCCTTGCAATTCTTCTACGTGCAGCATGATGTCTTTGATGACATTTTGGGCCACCATTGATTGTCTTGGCTCTCCCCCTGCCACCTGCTGGCACATGTTGGTGCTCTCCATGGTGTCCCTCCCATCTCCTAGGTGCTGCTTATTTTCCTTTATCTTTTCTATCTTCTCAGACTGGGAACTCTCAGCTAATCACTTTCAGGTTTGCTGAGTCTTTCTTCAGCTTGCTCAATAAGCGCTGAGTCTCTGAAAACTTTTCTTCACTTCAGTTATTGTACTTCATCCTCAGAATGCTCTTTGGTCCCCTTATAAATCCTATCTCCTTGTTGATCTGTATTTATTGATGTATCAACCTCGTGGCTTTCTGTAATTCTTTGGATTTATTTGAAGTTGTCTTGGAGTTTGTTCAGTGAGTCTGAAGTCCTGGCTTTCTTGTGGGCCACCTCCATTTCGCTTTTCCCTATGTGTGTGGGCCGTGCTTTGTTTCATTGCATGACATAATTTTTTGTTGAAAAGTGAACATTTTTCCTATTATAATGTTGCAACTCTGATAATCACATTTCCTCCCCTCACCAGAGTTTATTGTTGCTGGTTGTTATTTGCTTAGCTCTCTGTTCTCAATTAACTCCATGAAGGTTCTGTCCTTTGTCAGGTGCAGCCACAGGGTCTTTGTTCTTGCTGTTGGCAAGTGGTCTAGAAAATAGATGTATTTTCTGTCTGGAGCTAAACATGAAAAAAACTCTCAGTACTCGAAGATGAACCATGCGTGCACTGGAAAGCACCTCCAAATCCTTGCAGCACTCTGGCAGATGTGACAGCTACCCAAAGCCCTATTTTCCCCAAGTGTCCTAGTTGATCTCCAGTCTTCCTGAGTCTTTGGTTTGCCTACAGTCTGCCCCAATTGTTCTCTGGTGCCCCAAGTAGAAGTGACTAGTGTGCCTGCCTTTTGATGTTTTTCACAAACGCCTCCTGGGAAACGGCTTCAGCCCTCAGAGAGAGCTCAGAGGTGACACTGCCCTTCGGGAGTTGCCAGAGAGGTCAGAAGGAAGCCACGATTCCTGGGCAGCAGACCATTCTGCTGCCCTCTGTACCTAGACCTGTGCCCAGAATGAGGATGCCTTTCACCAAGGCCTGCTGAGCTGGGTTAAACACCACAGAGCTCTGCTGTCAACGTGCTGGTGGAGTTTTTTTAATTTTTTCTTTCTTGATTGAGGATTTTCATGGCTGCTATAAACGTTTAGTTTTTTCTAGTTCCAGTAAAGCTGGTTCTGATGGGTTTTGGGCATACCTGAGCCCCTTCTGTGGAAGGCCGGCTTCTCTCCACAAGGTGCTGGCCAGTGGGTGGATCTGTCTGTCACTCACTTCAGGAACTCACACGACTTTGGGCTTTGCTAGACTGGTCGTCTTCATCACCCAGTGTGGCTGAGGGTGAATGCAGCTGTTTCTTCTAGGGACACCTAAAGCTGCGTCTCCCCTTGTCACTGTGGGCAGTAGTCAGTGGGAGTTTCTATGCTTGTAGAGGTGTGGGATCCCAATTATCATGGAATAGGGCCACTTCTAGGTAGTGAGGCAGGGAAGAGTTATCAGAGCCCAGGATTCTCGGGGCTTCTGTGAGGTTTCCTGCCCAGTGACAATAAGATGGGCAATGTAACAACTGCAGTCTGACCAGTGCTCAGCAACCAGGGGCCCAGCTGCCCCACTGATCAGCAACCCCACTGTGCCGGGGTGGGGGAGGGCTCTACAGAGTGAGCCGCGACCTGGGACCACTGCAGCAGCAGGGCCCTCCTCTCGCCCCATCGCTGCTCTTTCTTAACTTCCTTGCTGCACTTGTGGCTGGCCACCTCCTAGAAGAATCAGCAGCAGGAAGGAGAGGACTTAACCCTGGGCACAGAGTCCCACCCACACCCCAGGCCACTCACCTGCGCAAGCTGGCTGCCTTCCTCTGCCAGCCCTGCATCAGTGCCCAGGCTCCTCCAGCTGCTGGGGCTGCCTCTCCCTGCCGGCAGTGTGCATCAGGCCGGGGGTCGCTCAGGGTGCCAGGACCCCACTGTGCCCCTGGCTGGCATCTGGGGCTCCAGGCGGCTGAGTCCACTTCCCAGAGGGTAACTTTATGGCAACCCCACCTCCTCACACTCCTTCTGTCCTTATCTCAGTCCAGCTCCCACAAGCCCTCCTCGGCAGGAGGTAAACTATTCCCAGCTCAGTTCCTTGGCTGGGCTGCTTTAGGGGAGCCCAGGCTGAGACACAACCTGTCCCTCCTCCCCTCCTCGAAGAAGCCTCATGTCTTTCTTCCCTTTCAACCGTATTAGACGGACAGGAGGCTTTGCTTCCCACACGGCTGCCTGCTCCACTTGGAGAGAAAATCAGCAGCAGCAGCCGTGTGTGGATGCTACCACCTTTGTTCCCACCCCGGGCCCGTCCTGTGCTCCTCCCTCTGTGACCTGGCTGCCGACCCTCCAGGTTTAGCATGAAAGCCATTTCTGCTGAGCTTCTCGGAGTTCCCTATGTCCCCCCATTATTCTCTCCCAGGGGACATTGCAGTTCTATTTCCTGCTCACAGAACGGCGGCCAGCCATGGCTTGGCAGGTTTCTCTGGTGAGGCTCTGTCTCTAGTAAACCACACAGAAACATTGCCATGGGCCTAAAGTCAAGGTGCAGCTTTGGTCCTGTGATGCGGACAGGAGGTGAGAACTCTGAGAGAGGACTTCTCTTTTGACCCCATAGCCCCTTTCACTCGTTTCTCACTTCTCTTGACATCAAAAGTCTTCAAAAGAACCATCCTGGCCAGGCTCAGTGGCACACACCCATAATCCCAGCTACTTGGGAAGCTGAGGCAGGAGACACACAGGTTTGCGGCCAGGAACTTAGTGAGACCCTGGAAGAAGAAGAAGGAGGAGGAGGAGGAGGAGGAGGAAGGGGAAGAGGAGGAGGAAGAAAGGGAGGAAGAGGTGGAGGGGAAGGAAGGGGAGGAGAGGAGAAGGGAGGGAGGAAAAGAGGAAGGAGAAAAAGAAAAAGAGGAAGAAGGAGGAGGGGTGGAGGTGGGAAGAAGAGGAGGAGCTAGGGATGTGGAGGAGGAAGAAGAGAAGGAGGAAGATGGAGAAGAGGAGGAAGAGGAAGGCAGAGGGGAGGAGCAGGAAGTGAGGGAGGGTAGAGAGGTAGCTTGCTGGGAGGCCCTGGGTTCAACCCCAATTATGCAAAACAGAAAGGAAAGGAAAAGGACCATCTCTCCTCCGCCTCTGATTGCTGTCCTCCCAGTCTCAGGCTCAGGCTCTCTGTACCCATGGTGACGCCCAAGCTCCCCGTGCAGAATGGCCTTGGCCTCCAAGCTGCCGGACCCATGTATTGCTCCTCGTCGCCTTGGACACGGTGCCAGCCCCATCCTTCCCGAAGCACTGTCTGCTGCCCTCCAGATTGACTCGTCCTCCTCACTCACAGACCCTCTCGGTCCTTCTGCCAGTGTCTCCCCACTGCCTGGACCTCCGAATGCTGTGTGGTGCCCAGGGCTCAGCCCTCCTTCTCCTCCACACAGCCCGTCCCTGACAATGCCGGCGTCCATCTAGGCTGGAAGGTTGTAAGTGTCTCCTGCAAGCTGACACCCTCCACACCACGCCCTGACCTAGGCCTCTTCTCAGACTCCTGGACAGTGTGTTCCACTGCTCACCCCACCACCCTGCAATCTCCACCTGGATGATTAGACGGGGACGATCAAAGTCATGGTGAATGTTTACGTTTTTAAAAGTTATTACAGTAAAAAGAAACATTGAATCCTCCTCAAAGTCCTCGCCTTCACTTTGAACACACTTACCCCATCATTCTTACCACTTTCTGCAGCAGTTCTGGAGTCCTCTTTCCTGAGTGTCTTTACAAGATGTGATCAGAAATACAGTGAACACTGCTGCCCAGTGCCATCCAACAGAAAGGCAGGCTTGTAAAAATGTGATGCTGTATCCTCATCCACCTTATTCACTGGATCTGTGTTGTGCAACTTCTGGCTCTGCCCCAAAGTCAAAATGACCATGAAAGGAAAATGTTTTGAATTAGTTCAGGACATTGAGGCAACCAGGACAGTGCAACGAAAGACAGGAAAGAGGGCTTCAAGAACTCGTTCAGGAAGTGGCAAGGGTGGTGGGATAAGTGTGTTCAAAGAGAGCGGGAGGATTTAGAGGGGGGTTAAAGAAAGTCTTTTACTGTAATAAATTTTTAAAATGTTAATATTCACATGGTTTCTAATCATACCTCATAGATATGTCAAACCCAGCCTGTCCCAAACAGGTTGGTCAGTTTTCCCTTGTTGATGTTGCAGAATTCCTAGGGAAAGGAGAGACCAATGGGAACCAGGAGGATTTATTTTAGGTAAACACTGGCTCAACAGACTCCGTCCAAAGGAAGAGGGACAAACAAAGAGAAGTTCCAGTTTTTATACATTTGGTCAAAGGGGGGTGGTCTTTCTGATGACACAGCATGTGAGTTTACCAGAACAAGGCAAGGGCAGGCAGCTTTGTAATTCAGCCTTGTAAGAAGAGAGTGTCTTATGAATCATATGAGAACAGGGTGTCATAAACTTTGTTTACGGAACATAGTTGTCAATTTTATCTGTACCAGAACAAGGAGTTACAGCTACAAGGGAGAGAAGGGGGATGGGAGGAGATGCCCAAGGCTGGGAAGAACTTGTTTTTCTTTAAGTCCTGCTTCAGTGACCAAATACCTAACAGGACCAACTTCCAGTGAGGAGTGGTTTGGCTCATGGTTTCAGAGCTCGTCAAAGCTGTCTTCATTGTCTTTGGACTCATGGTGACTCAGAACATCATGGTGGGACAAAGATGCTGGCCTCATGGTGACCAAGAAGCACAAACAGACCAGAAGGGACTGGGATGCCAGTACCCCCTCAAGGTCATGCCCCCAGAGACCTGGCTTCCTCCCACGAGGCCTCCTGAAGGCTGCATGACCTTGTCTAGCACCATGGCTGGTGACCAGGCCTCCATGTGGGTCTCTGGGGCATTTCCTGTCCAAACCACAGCCTGCACTGAATTCCCAACTCTCCTCATGCCACCCTGCTCAGCTCCCTGTTTCCCCACCTCAGGAAGCAGCAACTGCGACACTGAGCTTAGGCCACAAATGCTGGTTTCCCCTGATTCCTTGGCCAGGCAGTCCACCATATTGTAGGAAATGGTCTTTGTGCCCTTGACTTCCTGCTGTTCTTTCTCAGCCCTGCAGCCTGAGTGACCTTTCAGAGTCAACCAGGCCATCTTACTCCTCGGCTCAAGAAACTCCAGCAACTTCCACCACATGCCCAGGACAACCCCAGTCTCCACAGTGATGCACAAGCCCTGCCTCCAGCTCTGTCTGTTCACCTCCTGTTCCTCTGCTCCCTGGCTTCACTGATGTTCCTGGGATATGCCACATGTTCTCTGCACCAGGGCTTTTGCATGGTTGCTCTTCCTGAAGAACTTCCCACAATACCCCCAACATATACCCTATCTTTCTTCCAATTTTGCACATGTCAGCCTCTCAATAATACCTTTCGTTAGGGCCAGGGATTTAGCTCAGTGGTTCCAGCACCTGCCTTGCAAGCACAAAGTCCCAAGTTCGATCCCCGGTACCAAAAAAAAACCACCTTTCGTGACCACCCTGCTGTCCACAGCACACGCATTCCCTCAGGACTTCCGACGCCCTTAGCCTGCTTTGTTCCCCGATGTTCTCTCTGCTTATTGACCATCTCCCCATCTAGAACAGGAAGCTCATGGAAGAGGAAACCATGCACATGGCTCACTCTGTTGTTCTATGCTTGGAACAAGCCTGCCGGAGGAATGGATGAGGCAGTGATCCAATAAAATTGAGAGATTAAATCAACACGTGATGAATTTTTTTGTTTTTGGTTTTTTGAGACAAGGTCTCACTGTGTAGCACAGGCTGGCCTCAAACTCATGGTGATCCTCCTGCCTTGGCCTCCAAAGTACTAGGATTCCAGATGTCCACTACCACGCCCAGTGAACAAGTAATGAATTTATCCCATTTTCACCTGGATCTCAGGGATGCATTCAAGACAACATCCGGAAATCAGGGTTATGAGCTGGAATTCTAGAGAAATAGCTTGTTGCTGACTCTGTCTGGACCTCTGTTTCAGAGGAATGTGAGAAGCATCGAGACCCCCAAGCCCCTCCACTCCCCTCTGTATCCCTGGTCCAGCTTACAAAGGGGAAGGGGCCTTCTTTTGTTGCTAGGAGACCTGAGTCTTGCATGGCCTCCCTAGAGACCGTGGTCTCCTCTGATCCCCTTGCTGGGTCTCATTTCCTCCATCCACAGTGGCTCTGGGATCCTCCCTCCCTGGGGCTCTAGGACTTGTTTTCACCTGAGATGGCCGTGGTGTTGATGCTTGACCTCACTCGGGAACCATGGCTGATAAGTACCCTCCTATCTCCACAGCCTCTGTTCCTTCATGTCAAACCCAATGCCCAAGTTCCCGGGAAGGCCTCGGGTGTGGATGAAGTGTCCTGTAAATCCTCAGTGAGTCTGCACACTGGAACTGTGATGATAATGGGCTATATCTGGCCAGCCCAGATTCCTGCCATGCCCCAGACTCCACTGTGGCCAGCACTTACCTGCTGAGTGTGAATGGCCGGCGGCAGAAGCCAACTTGCTGTGCTGGTGAAAGGCAGAAGTGACTGACTCCATTGCAGGCCAGGCGCTGGCCTCTGCAAGTGGTGGGCGGCACAGCTGACAGCTGCTGCAGCCTCCTGCACTCTGTCATCATGCTGCAGGAAGCAGATGACGCCAAGGCTCTCAGCCTGGTGACAGCTCAAGTGTTCTGATAAAGTTGTCAGAAAGTGAAAAGGCCAATCCAGGAAGATGGAGTGTGTGTCCTTGGAGGTGTGCTGGCAAGAAGGAAGCAAGGGCCAGGATGTTGCTGAGGAGTCGCATAATCCCTGAGGGAGACCCTGTCTGTCCTGCTGTCCACAATGGCATCGTGACCACTCAGAAGCCCTGCTCAGAGACGCCTGGCCCCAGGCTGATCCCCTGGGCACGGGGGGGGGGGGGGGAGAAGGGCTCAGGGACAGGATCCGGATTCCACAGGGGAGATGAGGGGAAGGGGACCGAGGACAGTGGAACTGGGACATTGCTGTCATAGACGGAAGCATGCATGAGGGGTGCTAGGCTGGGTCTGACAATGGCCACAGTGGGTACCACTGAGCCCCAGAGCGCCCCAGAGTGCTTGGGTAAGAGGCCAGGTCAGAAAGGCAGGCAGGCCATGGGCCGTGTTTTCCCACTGAAAACTGAAATACCTTGTTGAGTCCTATGGGAAAAGGTGGCTACCGTGACTTCTGTCACTGCCTTGTTTGACGTCACGTGGGTGTTCGGCACTGCCTTCTGGTCACTCTGATGCTAATCTGTAGGTGCATCTGAGAAGAGGCTGCAAGGTGGTGGCTTCCTAATCTTCCACTTCAGTGTGGCCCCTGGGCTGCCTGAGCTCCCTTCCCCACTGCAGAATTTGTCTGGAATCTTAATGGTGGAGACAGCAGCAGAAACCACAGGCTGGGTGAGGTGTCGGCTGCACCTCCTCTGACACTCACAGCAGTTTTCAGCCAGGCCAGGACCAGCACAAAAAGCTCTCTTTTCTGTGACCTCTGCCCAAAGGCTTCGCCCTCTTGGTGTCTGGCACCCATCTGTTGTTTCTAACCAAGCACGCGTCACAGGAAAGTTCGACCTTGTGGGGTGACAGGAGGGGTCTGGATGGCTTCCCAGCCTTTGGGTGTCAGGTGTTCATGGCCTCCTTCTTTTGTTTGAAGGGAATTCCTGGAACAGCACCTGCTTTCTGATATCAATGCGTAAACACCTCCCGAGCCAAGTGGTGTCCTCTGGGGTCACATCAGTGGTCCTTGGGTGGCTTACTCTTCTGGATGGGAGCTGGGAGCAGCAGGGTGCCCTTTGTGGGTCTTGGGGCAGTCTAGAT